TGACTTTAGCTATTTTTAATGCTTCATTAGTAACTGTTCAAATCACATGTTGTGATATATTAAAAGGGTAGCAAAAAATGGCTGAAGTAAAAAAAACCACGAACAGAGAAGGAAAATCATATGAAAGAGAAGACATGGATCATTACCAAGAGATGATAGGTACTTACAATTGAATAGAAAATTCTACAAAATCATTAATTTGAAAAAAAAACTCTCCTTGGAGCTGTTCACAGATGAAATTTGACTTATTTTTTCATTTCCTTTGGGAAGTACATTAAATACATGTTTCAAAATAAAATATAAATTTAAAACATTCTTGGGCAAAAAATTGTTACAGCTTTAAATACTGGAAAAGCACAATTTGACATAGCTGATGTTACAATAAATGCAAACTTACTTCTCTATGTTTTAAGTATATTGTTTGAGAGTAATAAATCGTTCAATAAAGTACAGATCATTCATGTTAAAATTATATTCTAATATGGTAGACCTGAGAAAGAAAGGTGTAGCAGAGCCACACGGGGGGTGGGGGTGGGTCTGGGTACATCCCCCTGAATAAAAATCTAGAAAATGGAGGTCTCCTCTGGACAGACTGATACTCCATTGCAGTACTGTATTTAATAACAAATTTAGTGGTGCACATGCAGCATCAGTATAAATTGCTATTAGTCTACTGAGCAAGGTATGGCCCAAAGAATGCCACCCCAACTTCTCAAACATATGGTGCACCAAATATCATACGGAAATCATCCTATTGTTGCAAACAAATCCAGCAAACTCACAGTTTTGTTTAATAAGTTTAATAATATGTTTATAAGTCACCTTTATTAATTATTCCTTTATAAAATATTTCTGAATACACTATATTTTATTGAATGTTTTTTCTTCAAGCTTAATAATGATTGCTTTCATTGAAGGAATTTTGAAAGTGCACATATAACTGCCCATGTGTGAATACATTTCGTTCAAGAACGAGATGATCAGATTTGAATGTCTGTCTTCATAACGAATGCCAGACAAATTGAAAATTGTTGATGCAGAACAAGTGGAAAGATATCATCATTTTTGTATCCAATGTAATTCACAGTATAGCAACAACCTTACCATGTATTAAAAAAAAAATAAAAAGACCTAATAAAAATAAGCAACTATTAACAGTTATAAAAAATGTCTTCTTTCTTCTCCAAAAACTGTTATTTTTCATGGACACAGGTCTGTACTAAACAACTTTATGATTTTAGTTCAATAAAAAATACATCTTGTTATTAGCATTGGCTTGTTCTATTCACATTCATAATTGTAGTTTAAATATTAAGTCCCAATAAGCCTAATGTTCAAGATAAGGTAAGTATAAACTCACTATAGATCAAAATTACACTTCTACAGTAAATAATAATGTTACTTTCAATTAGGGTTGTTGGTCTAAAATTAAAAGAAATATTATTAATTAAACAAAATTAAACAATGTATAACACTTTTAACGTGTGCTCACTTGTATGAAAAAACATATAACAACTTTTAATAGATACATATAGATAGCTCTGGTGATAATCTACCTTTTTTTGGGTCTATGTAAGTGCCATTCGAGCTTGACTTGACCCAGTGTGTAGGGACAAATGATTTTAGTATATAATAGGACATGTATTACATTAAAAGTTATAGTTATATAATTTTATGGTTACACAGTTCGTCAAAATAGCAATGGTTTCAACTTTTTTCAAACTGATGATCAACTAGTTTTGATTCTAAAATTTCATGGAATGCTTCATATGATATTACAAGTACTTTTATGTTATACTGTGAAATATATATACTTTAGTATACATATTTAATTTTTTTTTTCAATCATTTCCCAGACTTGCTGAAATCTCCCTATGCACTGGCAGTTGAGAAGCACTGGCTTAAGCCATTAAAATGCACTCTAAACTTATATTTCATAAACAGAATGTCTGATATATATTTTGACAAATCTGATCTTATTTTAGCGACATTACAACAAACAATTTATATTTCTTTATGGCTATTTTGCTGTGGGAAACAGTGTGTACTATTACAAACTACCAATACTTTTTTACATTGCACTGGTGTTTGAGATTTTTGTTTTTACAAAGTTCTACTTAATTTTCCATTGTACCTTCTTATTAGCCTTAATCAAATGTACATAATTTGGTCTGATTAATTACACATACATATCTCCACCTGTATAAACATTTGTATCCTGCTACATGGGTAAAACAGTTCTGTTGATATGCTGGTGCCTGGCTTAGTTTTTCACTTGTGACACTGATAAAAGATGGTTTCAAATGTAGTTAGCAAAACTGGTATTGGTTTATATATTATCAAAGACTGCTTCATCAAAGCTATTCAGAATTGAATGCATGCACCGTAACATAAAAACAGAAAGTAACAAATAAGATGACAGTAAGAATGTCTAAATATTCAGATCAAATTGTAAATTCTACTCATAGCCATAAGAATTCATGTGATAGTGCTTATGATACATACACACAGTTTTCCTTTTTTTTCAGGGAAAAATCTTAAAAATATATTAAACAAAAGCTATAATGTACTGTTTAAAATTAGATATAACATAAGCTATCATGACTTTCCAACATATTTCTTTTAGTAGAGTATACAATAAAGTTTCTTCTCTACAATTCATTGTAAAAAAGTTTTTTTCCCCTCTTCTTCAAGATCTTGTTACAAAGCTTGACCATACAGAAAAAGGTATACTTGATTTTATCACAATAAATGAGCTGGAACAGCAAATCAACCCTTGCAGGAAAAACAGAAAAATGGCATTAGGAACACAGGATTTTTTGATGCCATAGAAAGTATGAATTATTTGAATGAACACACACACATACATTTCTCAATAATATAAAATTACATATGTAATAAAGTGTTGAAAATATTGGCAAATCAAAATTTCATGTGTTGCAGATCTCCACATTATAGGGTACATGTTACGAAACGGCTTAATATGTATATAT